CCCCATGCAAGGCCACCAAGCCCAGGGTTCCTGTGCCAGGAGGATAAGTCCCCATAACTTCTGGCTACCAAAACCAGTGGGGATTGAGTCAGTGGAAAAACTTCTAGAGTCCCAAGCAGTTTCCCTTACAGAACCCACACATAAACTTCCTTCGACTCACTGCCCCTGCATATTTGATCCTTCAACAGAAGGTGGAGGTTGGTGGTCAGTAGTCACAGCCAGTCTTTACAGCTGACTGGACTGGGGAAATTCCTCCCATTGATCTGCCAGCAGCAACCAAGGCCCAACTACAAGAGGAGGGTATACTCAGCCCACATGAAAGGCACACCTCGAATACCCAGCTTAGGTGATAGGGGAGGCTGTGCCAATGGACCCTACAGTATACCTACTAGATTAGGCCATGCTACCAAGACAGGGAGTCATAACAGCTCTACCTAACACATAGAAACAAACACAGGGAGGCTGCCAAAATGAAGAGACAAAGAAACATGGCCCAAATGAAAGAACAGATCAAACTCCAGAAAAAGAACTAAGCAAAATGGAAATAAGCAATCTATTAGATGCAGAGTTCAAAACACTGTTCATGATGATGCTCAAGGAACTTAGTAACTCAATAACATAAAAACATTCAGTCAGAAACAAAGGATAAGGTCAAGTTAAAGGAGTTCATCATCACCAAGCCCTTATTATGTGAAACTTAAAGGGACCTAAGAAAAAGATGAAAAATATGAACAATAAAATAACAACAAACTTACAACTATCAACAAATGAACCTAAAAAAAAAAAAAAGAAAGAAAGAAAACCAGTGAAAACAAAAACTAAGCAAACAACCAGAACAGGAACAGAATTAAAGAAATGGACATCACACAGAGGGAGTTCAGTGGGGAGGGGGAGGGAGGATTGAGGGGGACAGGGAAGAAGAAGCATAATTAGTAGGCATAAAATAGATGGGGAGAGATAAAAAATAGTATAGGAAACAGAGGACTCAAAGAACTTATATGTATAACCCATGGACATGAACTAAGGGAGGGAATGATGGAGGGTTGGGGGACAGGGTGGAAGGGGGATAAAGGGGGGGAAAATTGGGAAAACTATAATAACATAATAAAAATACTTTAAAAATAAAGTTAAATTAAAAAAAAGAAAGAGTACACTAATTGAAATAAGGGCAATTTACAGGGAAACAATAATAGAGTGAATGAAGTTGAGAATCAAATCAATGATTTGGAATTAAGAAAGTAAAAATTGACCAATCAAAACAAGAAGAAAAAGTATCAAAAAAACAAGGATAGTGTAAAGCAGCCTCTGGGACAACTTGAAGTGTTCCAACATTTGCATCATAGGGGTACCAGAAGGAGAAAGAAATAGCAAGAAATTGGAAATCTATGTGAAAAGATAATGAAAGAAACTTACCAAATTTGGTGAAGAAAATAGGCATGCAAATCCAGGAAGCACAGAGAGTCCCAAACAAGATGGATGCAAAAAAGCCCACTCCAAGTCACATCATAATTAACATGCTAAAGTTTAAAGATGAGGAGAGAATCTTGAAAGCAATAAAGAGAGAATCTTAAAAGCAACAAGAGAAAGGAAATTAGTTACCTATAGGGGAGTTCCATTAGGCTGTCATTGGATTTCTCAAAAGAAACTTTGCAGGCTAGAAGAGGTGGCAAGAAATATTCAAGTCACAAAAAACAGGGATTTAGCAGCCAAGATTACTCTACCCAGCAAGGATACCATTTAGAATCAAAGGGTTGATAAAGAGCTTCCCAGACAAGAAAAAACTAAAGGAGTTCATCCATCACCAAGCCATTATTATATAAAATGTTACAGGGACATACCTAAGAAAAAGAAGATCAAAACTGTGAACAATAATGGCAATAAATACACATCTATCAACAATTGAATCTAAAAAAGAAAGTAAGCAATCAAGAACAAAGATGGAATCATGGATAGGAGCAACATTTTGATGTTTGCCAGATGGGCAGGGGGTGTGGGGGAATGGTGAGGGGATTAAGAAATACAAATGAGTAGTTACAGAATAGCCATGGGAATGTAAAGTACGGTATAGGAAATGGAGTAGCCAAAGAAATAATACGTATGACCTATGTACATGAACAATGGTGTGTGGATTGCCTGAGGGAGTGGGGTGTGCTGGGTGGAGGGGGAAAAATTAGGACAACTGTAATAGAACAGTCAATATAATTTAAAAAACAAATTAGATCTAAAGTGGATTTCTGTAGTGTTTATAGTATATAGTGTATATATATACTATACTATGCATCCATATTATGGATGTACATATAAATTAGGTATAAATTTGATCTCTGTAGTGTTTAGGTAGTAGTGGAAAATTTGTACGTAGGCAAAATGCAGGACCTCACTAGTGGATTGTTGGGTAACCAATAAACATTATGCTCTAGATAAAATAAATTGTGTGTGTGTGTGTGTTTCCCTACAAAGTATTCTGTTTAGTATTGTTTTTTATGTCAGAAAAAATGCATGATGTCTGTCCAGAAGGTATCCAACTATTTAATGTGAAAAATAGAGAAATTTGTTGAGGAAGATTAAAGATACAAGAAACATTGTACATAGGACAAGGACATCTCAGTCCACTTCAAATTAGTCACCTTGGGATCTCACACAGTTCTCCCAGTCACTATTAGGTGCCCTGTTGTATTTTTGTGAATCTCAGGGATGGTCTGAAATCTCTTCCCCTTCAAAGGTGATTCTACTTTTGGGAAAAGCCAGAAATTGGCAGGACGCCAAATCTGGACTATAAGGGGGCAGAGTCCCCTGGGTGATTTGATGTCTTGCCACAAACTCTGCACAAGACATGATACCTGAATGGGCGGGTTGTTGTGATGAAGCCACCAGTCACCAGTTGCTCCCAGCTGTGGCCTTCTGAATCCTCAAAATAGTTTCCATGGGGCAATGTTCAGGCTTAATGTAAAATTCGATGCAGATTCATTGCTCTACTTGCTCAGTTGTTTTGAATGTGCTGACCACAAAGTACACAAGCTCGCTCAATCTCATCTGCTGCCCCCACAGACTGGTACAGTGAAGTCATCATTATTCACACATGCCCATTCCAGTCCAGTCTCCTGGACTGCCAGGTTACATCGATGTTGTGCAGACTGTTTTCATTATGTTAACAATGCCTGGACTTTTGTGGGACAGACCTCATATATGTGCCAAATAAATAGTTTTGATACTAGATGGTTATGTGTCACTGTAATTTTCCTGTGGAGTGTATGACAATTTTTTAATTCATGGAAATTTAGTTGTGGGAATCGGTGAGTATTACTGTACTTGGAATGGAGCAAGGCTGAATGAATATGAGTAACATTTTTCAATTTTGATTTGAGACTCAGACAGTGGAAGATATTATTATTAGGAAAATGGCTAAAAATTAATCATGTAGGCTTTCAGCACCAGGGGTATCAATAGTTTACTTTCATTCATAGAAAGTGGCCTTTATCAGTACCCAAATGTATAATGAGGAAGGGTCATTTTTCCAGAGCTCATCTTGTCCTTTGATTTTTCCTTTTTCAGTTATTTCATGCGTTTGGTCCTTTTGGCTGCAGCACTGGGACTTCTCAGTTGGTTATGGGTCAGGGAAATGATTATCTAAAGTGCAGGTAGGTGTAGTGAGAGTATATGTAAGGTCCTTATATACATTGAGTAGCACTGAGGTAAAATTGGCCATATGTCTGGATACTCAGTTTCTGAACAGACATTTTTCGGTTGTAGTGGTGTAGCACTGTACAGTTCAACTGAGGTCACAACAGGCAGGCATAGGTTGGGGTAAAAGGATTCGCCATTAGATTGAAGGGAAAACAGGACAAAGCTAGCTGGATCTTTTATAATCAACCACCCACATGGACTAGAGATTTTTGAAATGTATATATATTAAAGCAGAGAAAAAAAGTTATTCATTATTAGCTGTTGTGGGTATCATTCAGTAACTTGAACTGTTTAACTTTTTGAACATGTACCTTGGGAGTTAGAATAGGTTTTAGCTAATAAGGTTAACTTTTGAAAAAACAATAAACTGTATTACAGTAATTTTAGATTTATCACAAAGTTGCACAGAGATAGAACAGAGAGTTCCCGTATTCCCCTCATCTAGTTTCCCTGTTGTCATAATCATGACACCTTTGTCAAAGCAAAGAAACCAAAGGAGTATATTACTATTAACTCACTGCATAAAAGAGTAACTTTTTATACCTAATTTATTATTGCTCAAGATACTACAAAATGAAATCTCAAGAATTGAGGATTTTTTTTGATCCTTACCCGAGGACATGCTTATTGATTTTTTTAGAGAAAGGGAAAGGGAGGGAGGGAAACATCGATGCAAGAGAGAAACATCAATCTGGTTATATCTGGACTAGGTAGGTACCAGACCCACAACCTAGGTATATGCACTAACAAGCAATCACACTGGAGCACGTTTTCTGAAGAGGTGACTAATTTTGTGTTTGAAGGTTTCTTTTTAAAAATTTTGTTAAAACAATTTTTATCGAGATTAAGAAAGTAACATTAAAAATAAATTTTATATATTATAGTCTTTCCAGAACTGACTATGATATCTTTTTAAAGTTGACAGTTGAGTTTTTTTGCTTTCTGGACAAGGCTGGTTTTGAACCTATATCCTGACAGTTGTTTTCACTGTTTTCGATTCTTCCACTTTCTCTTATCCTGATTATTTCTGTCTTCCCAGGGGAGGAAAAATTCGAATGAGTCAGTGAAGGTGAACAAGAACTTCAGGTCATTTGGCCAAACAAATAGGACCTTTACCTTATTTAATTTGATACTTATTTACTTCATGGGTATAGGTTCTATTGAGAAATCTTAATTCAGAATCCTTTTGTTTTTTTAGTTAATCATTTCTGTTGTAGTGCTCGAGTGCTTGAGAGCGTTTATCTGTTTGCATCAGATTTTGGCATTAACTTATATTTTTGGTACTCAAATCTTAAACAGTTGTTTGTACTTTCTAGGCAACAGCTGAACAGATGCGCCTTGCTCAAGTGATCTTTGATAAAAATGATTCAGAATTTGAAGCTAAAGTTAAACAGGTATGTTTCTGGCAGAGGAGGTTATCACTTTTGTAATCTGTTTTTATTATGTTATAAAAATATAATTCTACTCGAGATTTTAATTTTAAAGTATGCTGCTTGCTTAATCTCAACTAATTATATTTTGAAGTTGTGATTAGATACCTGTATTGGTGGCAAGAATGAAGAAATTGAATATGTTCATCCTCTTGGCAGTAGAATCTCTGATATACTACTGTTAAATGTAACACTGAGGTAGATTGTTGTGAAAGCACATTGACATCTATACCTATAAGGAGAAAGTATATTTAGTTTTTGGCAAGTTCTCAGAAAATTTTGTTTGATGTTAAAGAAGAACTAAATGACCGTTTCAAATGTTTTGGTGATTCCATCCATGTTGGAAAAGTATAAAGGTAAATTTCAGGGTGATGTCTGCATTTAGAACTTTAATAAGAGGACTTTTTGATAGCATAATCTTAATTTCATATATACTTTTTTTCCTGATAAGACTTCTTTTTCCCTTCAAGATTTTAGAAGCCAAGCTTTTATAAATCTTACCTCAGTCCAAACCTTGGTAGGGATCTACCAATAGTTGTTCCTTAGAGTGAACACTGCATAGGGAATTCTTCATAGCTCTTCACTGAGTAAACTTTGTTCTTACTTAGAGTTTCTGTCATCAGACTAGCAATAATATATATATTTTTAAGATTTTAGTTATTTATTTTTAGAGAGAGGGGAAGGAAGGGAGAAAGAAAGGGAGAGAAACATTGACTGGTTGCTTCTTGCACACCCCTAACTGGGGACCTGGCCTGCAACCCAGGCCTGTGCCCTGACTGGGAATTGAACTGGCCACCTTTTGGTTTGCAAGCCGGCACTCAATTCACTAAGTCATATCAGCCAGGACTAGTGATAATATTTTTGAAAGGATACAAAAAGGATTTATTAAAAATTGTAGAACTTGTTCTTTGGAATGAGATTTATGTACAGTTTGCAACATACATACTATATATTATATTGTATTGTATCTGAATATCATAGCAAATACAAAAGAAAGAACCTTGGTTCAGGAATTTAGGGTTTTAAGTGCTAATTTTAGTCCTGTCTCTTACCCAGTCACTGGGGAGATTTTGATACTTATCGTTTCTTTCAACAATTGCATATGACAGGTATTGGATTAGGCCAGATCATTGATAAAAGTCTGACATTATTAGTAGATACCCAAAGACTGAAGTACTGGGAAGCTCTAAGGGCATGTAGCACTTTCGCTGTGTAATACAGGGAGAAAATGAGAGAGACAGAATGGTGCAGTGCACAGAGCTGTGTTTATGAGATCAGGAGACCTGGATTCCAGATGGGGTCTGCTGTTGATTAGTATTTTCACCACAGAGAAATCAGTTCAAATGTTGGGGTCAAACTGTTTTGAACTGCAGCTAGTACATAATAAAATAGTTAAACATAGTTAACACACAACAATCATACTTTTATTAACTTTTTTTTTAGATTTTATTTATTTATTTTTAGAGAGGGAAGGGAGGGAGAGAGAGAGAGAGAGAGAAATATCAGTGTGCGGTTGCTGGGGCCCATGGCCTGCAACCCAGGCATGTGCCCTGGCTGGGAATCGAACCTGCGACACTTTGGTTCACAGCCCGCGCTCAATCCACTGAGCTACGCCAGCCAGGGCTACTTTTGTTAACTCTTAATGGAGAAACCTGTATTGTGTCTAATCTGTTTGTTCCTTGTGATGAAAATAAGTAGCTTAATCTCTCTTGGTAAAGAGAATGCACCAAGGGGATTTCTTCAGTTACTTGAAACATAGCACCCTGTGGAATCTGCTCGAGAACATACTATGTCTAGGAGTGAGTTTTGTGATAGCCTCAGAATTCTTTGTGAGACCTCAGGTGTTAACTTTTTGCTTGTGTTATAATCCGAGTAGTAAAAGTTTTTGTGGGAAACTTTGTCCCTATGCAGAACAGTTGGACTAGATGTTCTGTTAGTGGTGGTCTCATACACCTGGTCTTTGGGAAACACGGAGTCAGTCCCACTTAATATTTGCGTAGTTTAGAATTTTGGGAATCCAGGCCATGAATCTAAGTTTTAATAGTCAATAGCTGATCCAGAGTATTCTGAGGATGTTGGTATATGCATATGTGTGTGCTGCTGATTAATAACCTGATACCAGTCAGCTTGAGGAGGGTTGATTTGTAGTTCGACTCTGCCAATATTGGTGAAAAGACATGGGATGGCCACAGAAAAAAAAAAAGGGGGGGGGGAACCCAAAACAGGTAAAAGCTCAGAGTGTTGAAGAGGCTATCTTCATGTGGAAGGATTGAATAACTTCTGTCTTTGTGTAGAAAAATCTTAAAATTAATATCAAGTGTCGTTTTGGGGTCCTTCTAACCATTTTTTTATACTTTTATAGCTTATGGAAGTGACAGGAAAAAATCAGGATGAGTGTATAGTGGCCCTACACGACTGTAACGGAGATGTGAACAAGGCTATCAACACATTGCTAGAAGGGAATTCAGACACGGTAAGACTATGAAGTTATATTAATTGATTTGCAGTGCTAAGATTTGTTTCCAGTTCCATATTGCATTTTAAATTTCACCTTACTTGGGGGTGGGGGTGGAGGGGATTATGGGTGCCATTCCATATTTGTTTTAAGATCCAGAAAGAACACTAACCTAAAATGACTGTTTTTGTTATATATGGTTTTTTCATGAAGTCATAGAATCTGAAGACTCGAAAGAGAACTTGGTCATCTACTCCAGCCTTACACAGTTTCCAAAATTCTCTGGGCCTGTGGACATTTTCACCACCTGAAAAAATCTTCTCTTGGCTCCACTGCTCATGTTTCTTCATCTCAGTCGTCACCTCTTACCACTCCTTATATCTCTAGACTAACAGAAAACCAGGATTTGCTGGTATATCTATTTGCTTATGTGTGAATATTCTATAGACACATTTTCATGACAGTTTGACAGATATATAAAAGGGGAAAGTTGGTGGTTGTTTTTTTGTTTTTTTTTTAAGCTTAGTAAAGTTTGAAGAAATGTGTAGGCACACTTGAGCTCATCTCTTAACTTAGGAGGGATGCAACTAAAGCCACACCAGGCGGTTGTCAGCCCTAATCTTTTGATTTCTACGTGGAGATTGCACAGTATTTCATTTGTATTTTTAAATTGAGGATTAAAACGAATAATGATTTAACTAAAAAAGGGTACAAAGATGAACACATCAAGAAGTACCTTCCTTGTCAGTGTTCAGGCTTAATCAGGTTCCTATTTTTAGGGTCAAAATTGGTATTAGTTGTATAAAAATGAACTTCCATGACAAGTTCAAATGTAGAATGAGTATCTTTTTATTCAAAACAAGGAGAATGAATTTTATTATTAAATAATTAGATACTTGGGAAAATATTTGCAGTATCTGTGGGTAAAATTCCATGCCAGGTAACACTGGTTCACATGATAAACTACCAAATATGTCAGTTTGTTGGGAAAATATATCATGTGAAGTGATGGAATAAAATTTGGAATAGCTTTTGTTTGCTGAGAGTCTTGTGTTTACTGGGTTTTATGAAATATGGGGAATGTGTTTGCCTCATTTCTAATGAATTCAGTGTAGAACGGCTCTCGTTATTTTCAAAATGAACTGAAGGGCTTACCTTCCCTCTTTATAAAAAAAATCATTGTGGACAAATGAAATATCTCTAAATTATTAATTGGAGGGTGCATTTTCTCTTTTTGTGGTCAAAGTAGGATGGGATACTCCTTTCTGTTGCCTTTTCTTTACCTCCAGTAGATTTCGTTCTTTATGTGGTAGTCAGGTGAATTTTTAAGTCTTAAAAGTTGAGTTCTCTCTTTGGTTTATTGAGTTTTAACTTCTCATTGGGACTGAACCCAAAGAAGGTGGTTCTGGCTGAATGTTAAATAAATAATGTTCCTTTTGTTAGCTTTTTAAGAAAATATTTATTTACTTTTAGAGAGAGGGGAAGGGAGGGAGAAAGTGATAGAGAGAAACTTCAGTGTGCTAGAGATACATGGATCTGTTGCCTTTCAGTTGCCCCCAACTGGGGACCTGGCCTGCAACCCCAGGCATATGCCCCGACTGGAAATTGAACTGGCAACCTCGTTGTTTGCAGGCTGGTGCTCAGTGTACTGTGTCACATCAGCCAGGACTCTTGTTAACTCTTGAACCTAGAAATCACACAGTGGTAGCCAGATCAGGCTTGTTTTCTTCAAAGATCAAAAAATAGTAAATTAGTGCTTAAATCTAGGCACAAAAGATGTATGCTTGATTGGAGTTAAGAGGATTTAGGGGAAATGCAGAAGCATAGGGAAAGTCTTTGAGAGACCCTGTTTTGTTTACAATTAATCTGTGGTGCATCTTGTCTTCCATATTACTTGCATATCTGTTACCTGGTTGTTGTCTGCAGCATGGCAACCAGCAGCAAACCTTGTCCTGTTAGCTAGCTTTTACTTTGTGCCAAGGTCTCTTGAAGCAAAATTATTACTTTGCAAAAACATCAAGTGGAATTCTCTATGATATTTTAAAGATGAGTTTGTCTTTCTCATGTATAGTTGCTGTCACAAAGGAAAGCATTGAATATGATCATAAGTACCGAACTCTCTGTGTCATCACAATGCTGCTTGTTTGAGTGACAAAATAGTTCTGAAGTATCAATCCCTTGCATTAATGTACTTTGTTGTTATTACAACAACACATGTAGTTCCTGGCAATTATGAAGGGGTGGGAGAGTGATTCTGAATGATCAGGCCTGGAAAGCTGTTTTTCTAATTACTAAATGTGTTGTTTGGGAAAACCATTGCTATTGGAGTTTCTTCTGCCCTCCTATTGTATAAATAGCCAAGTATACAGATGACAAAGATTGACAGAAGTTCTGTTGAAAATCTTTTGTAATTGTTTCAACTTTGAAAGCCTGTGTGCATGCTTGTAGACTCTTGTGCAAATGTGCAGTGTTCTCTTTAGCATTTACTGTGGTGTAAAACCAGTTGCCCCATAAAGGTTCCTTTCCTCCTTTCCCCACAAAGTTCTTGTTAGATTATGTAGAATCCAGAAACCAAGATTTGCTTCAGGGTATCCTTTGCTCAATGAAATGGAGTATGATGCTTCTCTCTTTCAGATGTTTTACATAGAAAGTCTATCCCTTTATAATGATTGAGTCTGGCAGTTTAAAGATATTTTAAATTGTACATATATGTACCTTGTGCCAACTCGACTGTGTTTAAATATTCTAGGACCTCTTTTTTAACCTAAGACGACAAGATTCTATCCTACATAGTTGTCTTTATTTATATTAGTGAAGATAATAAATTGAGTTTGTATACTGGAATCTTTTGCTGGAATAAATAAACTTTATTGTTTTCTTTAATTAAAAACAATGCAGAGAGATAAAAGCTTAAATCCAATTAAATATCTTTACTTAGATAACTATTTCTAACTTTCTTTAACATGTACACAAGCCTTTATTTGAACTAAAAAATGTAATTCTATTTTATATACTGTTTGCCGAAAGCTTGCATCACTTATATCATGGATCTCTTTCTTTGTACACCTGGATAACTCTTAAAATGGCCACGTGTGACTCCCTGTGTGGACATTCTAGAGTAGATAGTTTCTGAGCAAGGTATTTGGGGAATTCCTGTCCCCTCCCTTCTTTCATTCTTCTCATCATTGTCTGTACACAATTGTCAGATTATTTCCTCCGAATAAAGGCCTAGACATAGAATTGCTAGGTCAACAGCTGAGAACTAATTGAAATTTGGATACTGTGCACAGTAGACTTCCAGGAAGGTTAGAATAGATGCATGTTTAACTAGAACTAAAATACCTGATTATTCTGCTCTAACTATTGGGTGTTAATTTTTAAAATCTTTATCAAACCTTAGAGGTGGAAAATAATTTGGTTTCATTTATATTTTTTAACATCCCATCATTTTATATGTAACTAATGTATGAGATCATCATAGAGTTATAGATAACAAAATTTTTTATTTTAAAAATGTTTTAAATCTAGCTCCCACTGTTATAGAAATAATTCAGCTATATTTCTAATTTTAGTTTAATTTCCAGTGCTTATGTTTATTTGGATATACAATGTTAGTAATTTTCTGCAGGTTTTTTTAAAACCTAAAATAGTTATGTAAGGTAAATTATAGGAAAGTAAGTGGAAACAAATTGTTCAGCTTTGCAATTGCCCAGTAACACACTGTGATTGATATTTTAATACTTACATTCACAAGAACATAGTTACACTGATAAAAACATAGTGTCTTGTTTTTTTCTTAGCAGTTTTTAAAGTAGGTTCACAGTTGTTCATATGGAAGATAATATAATAATTAATAAATAATATTATAAGAATAAACTCTGTGTTTTGTGTTTTCACAACTATAAATCTTCTTTTGCCCCAACCTGTATATGGTATGATTTGGTTTGGTATCACCATTCCAGGAGAGGTGGAGAAGAGAGGTTATATAAATAATTTGACTTCATTAGAACAGGTCTTTGAGTTTTAAATTTTGGGTACTTAACTTTAACCCTAAATTTTATTTGTTTACTGTTAAAGTTTTTTTGATGGTTACTTTGGGTAACTGAATAGGGAAAGTTGTATTTTCTGAGATTTTAGGGCATCATAATGTGTAACTTTGTAATCTTGAAGCATCTATGTTTTTAATAGGTTTAAGTCCTGCTACTGAGGTGAGGTTGGCAGAGTGGGAACTTGGGGAAATGACAATTTACTTTATTCTCGTCAGCCTAGGAAAAGTCTTTCTGGTGGGACAACGTGTAGTTACATTGTCAACTCAGCTACTCACTGTAATCTTTTGTGCTCTGTATGGCAAAGAAGCTTAGCAAAAGATTTGCTGTCTTTATCATTGGAAAGTAGAAGTATATGAAAAGAATTAAAATGGTAGGCAAGCAAGCTGCAAGGCATGTGAAATTAGGTTTGGAAGATATAACGTGCACACACTCTTGATAATTGTACGCGCTTTGAGTGACAACTCGGAATAACAACTCTTATCTTCGGTAGACTTCATGGGAGACTGTAGGGGGGAAGAAGAAGAATTTTGGAAAAGAAAGTTCAGAAAACAAAGAGAATAGAGAGAAGAGGAGCGAGAGAGAAGCGAGTCGTGGGCGTGGAAACAACAACCGAAAAGGAAGAGGTGGCAACCGTGGGAGAGAATGTAAGTATGGACCTTCCCCCTCAACTTTTTATGATGAAAATTTTTATACACTTTGAAATTCTGAAAGAGTAGGTCAACAAATGCCCGCAAATCCACTTCCTCAATGTATCATTTGTTATTACAGTTAACACTTGGGCTCTAATGAACTTAGTTAACTTAGTAACTGATGCAGTTTCATATCAGTGCTGACCTGCGCTGTAGGTAGGTAGTCTTGTGTATTAAGACTGCCTGCTGTTGTGAATGAAGTGCATCCTCTAATTTTAAAAGAGAATTTTCCTTAACTGATAGATGAAGCTGTGTATTCTTCCCCACTTGTGGATACTCATGGTATAGGCAAAGGTTAAATTAAGTGGAAAGTTGTTGAATAGGGAAGATTTTCTTTGTACTTAACATTCGACTCAGGTTTTGGCATCATTAACTGAAAGCAACAACCTGCTGTATAGACATACCAAAGTAGCTAAATTATGAATGAGTAAAATGTAAATATTTAACATGTTACCTTGGAGACTTGCTAGGTTATTCCATGGATATTTATTATGTACCTACTATATAATCAGTACTCTTATAGGCATATAGCAATGAATAATATAGAAATCTTTGTCCTCCTAAGACTTACCTTTTAATGGAGGTAGAGTGAGATGTAACAATAAAGTTGAAAAGTAACATTTCATATTAATATATTTTAATGATGTTATGTAGAAATTATGCTGTGGTGAAAAACAAAGGCAGAGAGATGGGGATTACAGGGAGGGGGTGTGGTGAATTTAAGTGGAATAGTCACCAAGAAAGGCCTCACTTACAATTCATAGGAGTTAGTCCTTGAAAGAGATGAAAGGAACAAGCTGTGCCAATGTCACTCATAAAATGTCTGTGTTATGTAGAATCATTAATGCTGTTACAGATATGAGGAGGAGAAAAGACTATGTTGGCATCTTCTGGACAATATCCAGTAAAAACCTGTGTCTAACACTAATTTCTACAATAATTTAATATTTCCTTGGTGGTGGTGGTGGTGTATGCCTTTGCAGAACTTAACACCTAACCAGTGAGCAAATGTGTTGTGTATTACATAGTTGAATAACAAAAGTGGCTTTTTGAAGTAAATCTTACTTTAGGGGAGGGCAAGTCCAAATAGAAAAAAGAAAAAGTGGTATGTCATTTAAATTTCTTTTTAGAATTTTCACCTATGAATTAGTAAGGAAATGTGCTATACCACACAGTTTTTGAGCCATTTTTGTTTGGTTTTGCTTTCTCCTCTTTTTGAACCCTTTGGTTAAATTTTAGCCTTTCAAAAAAAGACTATTCTTGCCTTTAATAGTTATCTGGTATGATTATGTATAAGAGGTGCTTTTTAATTTCTTAGTTAGAGGCGAAGAGAATGGAATTGATTGCAGTCAAGGAGACAAGCCTTCAGACCGTGGCAAGCGAGCCCGTAGTAGAGGTAAGACAATAGGGGGGAAGGAGATGCTTGTGACCAGGAAAAGGAGGCAGGCTGTTCGCTGTACAAGGCACTGACTAAGACATGGCATTGTGTTTTGAAAGAATGGTTCATCTTCTGAAATCTTTTGATTTGTTTACTGATGTCTATATGAATGAAGTGTATGTAATTGGATTATGTAATTTTGAGGAAACAGTTGGTTATTTTCAAATGAGCAATGGAGACCCTTTATATGAATAATTTAAAATTTGAAGTTCTGACCAAATGTCATTATTAATTCCCCTATGTTGGATTTTTTTTTAAGATTTTATTTATTTATTTATTTTTTAGAGAGGGAAGGGAGGGAGAAAGAGAGAGAGAGAAACATCAATGTGCGGTTGCTGGGGGCTATGGCCTGCAACCCAGGCATGTGCCCTGGCTGGGAATCGAACCTGCGACACTTTGGTTTGCAGCCTGTGCTCAATCCAGTGAGCTACACCAGCCCAGGTATGTTGGACTTTAAGAAATGTATTTTAGCCCCGACTGGTGTGGCTCAGTTGGTTGAGTGTCATCCTGCAAAGCCAAAGGTCACCAGTTCGATTCCTGGTGAGAGTGTATGCCTGGGTTGTGGCCTGGAGTTCTGGTTGGGGCACGAATGAGAGGCAAGGATAGATGTTTCACACAGTGATGTTTCTCTCCTTCTCTTTCTCCCACCCTTCCCCTTTATCTAAAAATAAATAAAATCTTTAAAAAAGGAAAAAAAGAAAAAATGTATTTTAGCACTGGCCAGGGGGCTCAGTTGCCTAGAGTGTCATCCTGATATGCCATTGTTGTGGGTTCAATCCCCAGCCAGGCACTTAGAAGAATCAGTCAATGAATGCATAAATATGTAGAACAACAAATTGACGTTTCTCTCTTTATCTCTCCCCTCTCACCCTAAATCAGTTTTTTAAAAATTTTGAGGAAAAAAAAGTGTTTTACCCACTGGTTTTAAATTAAAGTTGTTTGCCCATTGATTATCCCTTCCCCTTAACCATTTCCTGTTAGTGATCATTTCTTAACATTTATTAATTTGACATGTCACTAAGCCCCTTTAAGAATGTAGTTTCAGCCCTGACCAGGGTGGCTCAGTTGATTGGGCATTGTCCCACTGAGCAAAAGAAAAGTTGCCAGTTCTGTTTCCGGTTGGGTCACATGCTTGGGTTGTAGGTTTAGTCCCTGGTTGGGGCATGTATGAGAGGCAACTGGTTGATGTTTCTCTCTCACATCAGTGTTTCTCTCCCTCTTTTCCCACCCTTCCTCTCTTTCTAAAAATAAATAAATAAAATTTTAATCTTCATTAAAAAAAAGCAGTATAGTTTTGTATATCTTAAAGTTGTGACTGAATTTTCTCAGGATTATAAGTAATAATGTACAGACCCTGTTTTCATTCAGTGGAGGAGCTACCTGAATTGACTGACATTATATTTTATCCATTATTCAATGTGGTTGTGACTCTTCTCCAAATGAGCATTTTATAGTAGCAGAATTTGTCAGAAATACTAAGTGTAGCAATAATGTAGGTTGTACTATACCATCAATTCCCTTTGCTGATCACTCATCCTACAATACTTTACTAAACTTCCACTCTGGGGGCCAAAGGCAAATGATTTCCAGAGATAAGAAAAGGATAAATTAGCTCGGACTGAATTGATTCAGTGAATTGAGCCCTGGCCTGAGAACCTAAAGGTCACTGGTTCAATTCCCTGTCCAGGCATATGCCTGGGTTGAGAGCCAGGTCCTCATTTGGGGGTGTTGAGGGAAGCAACCAATTGATGTTTCCCTTGTACTAATTTGCCAAGTGTGGTCAAAATAAGATTAGAATTATCAAATAGATTTTAATTATAATTCTGCTTTCTTGCCTTTTCTTTATTATGCCCAATTATAAACAGACAGATGGAGAGAATAGTTAAGTGATCTCCATGTCCCCTCACTCTTATTCAACAATGCTTACAGATTTTAGCCGTATTTACTTTGTCGCTGTTATTCCTTTCTTCTTTTCTCTGCAGAAACATTTGAAAGTATTGAATATATTTTGGGGGGTCACTTACCCCTAATCACTATGAAAAATGTAGACAGTTTCATATGTAACCATAATTCTATTTTCACATCTAACAAAAAATCAGTAAATTTTGTTACCTAATACTCAAGCCATATATAATTTCCCTGATTATTTATAAAATGTCTTTTCATAATTAATTTCTTTGAATCAGGATCCAGATAAGATCTGTACATTACATATTTTGATTCTCTTTAATCTGGAGTAGTTCTTCCTCGTCTTTTTACCTCCACTTTTTTCTGTCTACATTGATTCGTTGTCAGAACCATGTGATTTGTTCTACAGTATTTCATGTTTTACATTCTGCATTTCTGTTTTTGTTTCTTGTGTCATTTAGCTTATTTTTCTAGACCTCGTATTTACTGTCATTTATCCTCAGTTTTTTAGGTAAGCGTAGGTGGTATTTGTTGAGTATTCTACAATATGTTGCATTGCACCAGAAGGTACTTCTTTGTCTTCCTTTTATTTTTTTAATGAGTTTATGTATTGGTGGGTTTAGAATTAGTGTAATTGAAATTCTTTTATTTTTTAAATACATTTTTTAAAATTCATGTTTAGAGAGAGGGGAAGGGAAAGAGAAAGAGAGGGAGAGAAACATCAGTGTGTGGTTGCCTCTCGCATGCCCCCCACTGGGGACCCGGGGTGCAACCCAGGCATGTGCCCTGATTGGGAATTGAATTGACAACCTTCTGCTTTGTGTAATGACAACCCACCAAGTGAGCTATACTGGTTAGGGCCATATCTAGGTTTTTATTTTTTATTTTTTTAAAGATTACAGTACTACAACATATATAATTCCACATTGCAATTTTCTTTGTGACAAGAATAGTTTGCGCAGAGGATGTGTTGGACCTTATTTGTCAGTAAAAACCCATTGAGGATTGTTGTTGTTATTCTCATTTTACAGATTACAGAGGGGACCAGATTATTTACTCAGGTTTGAACTATTGGATTGGCCAAAAAGTCTGTTTAGCTTTTTCCATAAAGTAAAAGACACATTTTTCATTTTCACCAATAACTTTATTGATTTGGATATTTTGAGTATGTTGGCTATCTTCCCCATGGTAGAACATTGAGATTGTTCTCCATTAATGTCTTGACTTGATCGCTATCAACTTCAACTGGTCTACCTGATCTTGGAGCAGCATCCAGTGAGAAATCTACAGCACGAAACTTTGCAAACCACATTTGACAGGTTTGATCTGTCACAGCACCTTCTCCATGAACTACACAAACCCTTTTTGTTTTGTATTTCAGTTGTTTTTACCTCTCTTGAAATAATAAAACATAATATGCTGAAAATGTGTTATTTTCTTCCATCTTCAGGATTAAAGTGGCCCCTGAATGTAAAATTCAGGATTAAAAATTCACCAGTTTTGATGTTTTTAAATGTGCACTGACATGATAGCTGTGCCAATATAATTTTTTAAAAGATTTTATTTATTTTTAGAGAGGGAAGGGAGGAAAAATGAGAGAGAGAAACATCAATGTGCGGTTACTGGGGGTCCTAGCCTGCAACCCAGGCATGTATCCTGACTGGGAATCGAACCTGCGACACTTTGGTTCGTAGCCTGCACTCAATCCACTGAGCTACGCCAGCCAGGGCACTGCCCCAATATAATTTAACAAAACTGTTTTGAATGAAGTTAAAAACAACTAAGCACTACTAGGGCAACTTACAGGGAAACCGAATGAACTTTTTGGCCAGCCCAGTAGTTCTATCTTATTCTGGAACCGGGGTTCTTCAGGGAGTCAGAGTGGGTAGTAGGTGGTTGTCTGCCTTGTTGCCACCTTCCTTTCTCAAGGATAACAAACTTCTTAATATTAGAGGTGCAGGTAAATTGCTTTCTGTTATGAAAACTGGAAGGACTTAACTAGTGGGTAGTCCTGAAACAAAGTCGTTGGGGACTATTGAATAGTTTATGAGAGACTGGATTGATAGGAGCAAAAACAAGTAAAATCTTAATTAGGGATGACATGGGCTTGCATTAAGGTCCCTAATTCAAGCGTGTTTACTTTTAAGAAAGGCTGTAAAGTGATGGGTAAGGAACTCAGATTGACTCTTTATAAACCCAGTTAGACTTAAAAAAAAATCTGTCACCCTCCCCTACATATAAATAAACTTACAGAGATACAATTTTTACTGATAATACCTATATTTAAATATATTTAAACAGGCTATTGCAGGGTATTAGTCTGTGTCTGGAGATTTCTTTAAATCACTCAGTATCCAAAGCCAGTACAGGACAAGAGAGGGGGAAAATATGTATATAGTACCCAGTATGCACAAAACCACAATTTTTTTGCTCAGTGAATATTAGTAAAGTCCAGTTTGATAGTAAGTGAATACTGGTTCAAGAGTGATAGTTTACATCACTTTCATAATCAAAAGAATAAATGTTCTTTTTTAATGTAACATGTTCCTTCCCACAAGTTGGATTGGCAGTTATTTAATGTCCTAATTTAATCTTATAGTTTGTTGAATTAGCCTTAAAACAGTTGATTTGTCTCTTTCTAGTTAATTTTGATCTCTTGGGTAGTAGAAAAATTTTAAAGTGTATTTAAAAAACAAGTACATGCTTTTAAAAGCATGTACTTCAGGCCCTGGCCAGGTAGCTCAGTTGGTTAGCACATCATCCTGAAATGCCAAGGTTGTGGTTGATCCCTGGTCAAGGCATGTACAAGAAACAACCAGTGAACATAAATAAGTGGAACAACCCCTCTCTTCCTTCTCTCTCTCAAATTAATGGATTAAAGTGTGTACTTTAAAAACAGATTTTTAGGTCCATTGCATTTATTCTTTCATTAGGGGCTCCTGTTGCTGGCTTCACATTGGCTGTCCCTCAGAATGCTAATCTACATTTGTGATCAAACCTGCTAACATTTTTAGAGTTGATAAAATTTCAGTAAGTCATGCTCTTCCCCC